TCTTAACGATCTTAACGATACAAAGAAATATACGAATTGTTACTATACCAATAAAATTGTCTGTTAAGTAAGTTAATAAAAGGACTTAACCAAAATTAACCATAATCGAAATTAGTTGTAGGATAGTTGCTATAGCATTTAGAAAGCAAACAAATCTTAACAGAAAAAAGTGTATTTGTACACGAATCGAATGAAAGTGTACTGTATACAGAAGGCGACAAGACTGTCACATTCCCCAAAGTCAGAGCATAGATTAGCCAATCCATGTCAGTCATTCTTGACCTCATCGACATTTGACTAACGATTTAACATCCAGTGATAAGTTTCCTATGCAAAGAATAATTTAGGTAGAGTTCATCGTGGTTTTATTGACACTATACCTTAAGAACTAGATGATTAGTGACCTATTCTTGCATCTTTAAAATATTATTTATCTTTAAATACTCTTAGCTGGCACAAAACTACCATGTCATTTGGCCATACAGTTATGTGATTAGTGAAACGATGGAGAGAGGTGGTGGACTACCAAACTGATGTGCCATAACATGTGGCTATGAAAAGTATTTATGTTGATGTTCGAGAATTTCAACTCAAATGCGGGAAATAGACGCTAAATGAGCATTATTCGTTTGTGAAAAAATAACATAAGCCAATTCAGTATATATTCATGATTGATTTTTATGTAGCTGTACCAGAGTTAAAATAATAAATTTTGTCCTAGAGATGTAACAAGGTGTGAATCGAATAAACTTTATCTGTTACACAAGGTTACAAATTACAATTCAGTATTATACTGTTTAGTGTGTTTTGAGAAGCAAATTATTTCAACCGTATTAGCAATATAGTTGTTGTCATAAGAAACTCAGCAATACAACAGAATTAAATGACACTATAGGAGCAGGAAACAATTATATATTGTGAACTTATGAGTAATGAACTATCAACTTGCCAGTTGGCCAATTTTTTAAGTAATTCTTTGTCGTTCGAGGTTATACTTTCGTGGATATAAGAGTCCCGATTATCAGAAGGCTTGACACGGGTTCAAATCTCATGACGAGCATCAGTTTGCTCGGGATTGTAGATTCTTCTTGAAAAAGTCCAGCATTACCTGCTAATCACCTTCTGTCAGTGAATATGTAAATATTGTTCTTGGGTTTGCTGGACCTACATATAGGTCAAAATTATAACTTGTTCAACTTTAGTTATGTAGTGGTCTTTGATTAAAAGTACTGTTTAAAAACCAATAATAATATTAAAAGGTCATAGGTCATAGGTCATTAAGGAAAGTTTTGGATTTTTGAAAGAAACCTCATTAGATAGCAACCTAATAATAGTTCATAATTTTGAAATGTTAACTTTAAAGAAGTTGAAACTAATGAAGTTCATTAGGATTGATAGAATTGCTACAAAACATATAGGCAGTAGGATTTTTATGAAGGAGTTTACAGCTGTCTATAAGATTTAGATTCTTGCTGAAAATTAAAATGAATACAAATTTATTACTCAAAATATAGCATTAGTAGAGATCATGAGTCAATTGAAGCTAGACCACCATGGAAAACCTGGAAGCACTGGACGGCCGTTTCGTCCTATTGTGGGACTCCTCAGTAGTGCGCATCCACGATCCCGCCTCGCGAGATTCGAAACCACGTTATCCACGGTGGTCTGGCTTCAATGGACTGATGATCTCAACTATATAAAATAACTAAAATCTCCACAAAAACCCTCTTCTGATATAGCATTAGTGTTGATTTCCTTACACTCTTGAGAATTAAAAAAGATTGTCAAATTATAGATTTCCATTTAACTCAGATTACTAATATGTATGAGTAAAAATAAACATGCAACTTAGTACTTCGAGTTCGTTCATTTGACAACAAGAGTTATTCAGAAAATTAGTGAATGATATGTTCTATGTTTAGTCAATATACGTGGAATAAACGACAATAAAATTCATAGCTAAAAGTCATTCATCAATAAAATTTGACGAGGCACATTACTCACACTTGCTAATCAAAACTCTGAAAATACTGCTAATAGTAGGATTTGGAAATTCTGTATGATTAATACTTTTGATTCAAGTCAAAAATGGAGTAGAATGTCCTATATAATGAGGTTATCAGAAATTTAGATAAAACAATATATTTTACTTCTAGTGAAGTAGATGCTCATCTAAAATACCTTCACAATAAATACATAGAGATTTATCGATTAGTGGTATCATGGTGCATAGTGAGACCGTGAGTAGTCATATTAGATTCTATTTATTTGTGCAGCAAGTTGATAAATGGAGGATATAGTAAAAATACTGACATATATTCTTTAAAATGTTTCATATTAACAGATCGATGTCATAGATATTTGAATTATTTTAGAATAGTACACAATACTATAACAGGAAAACTGTGAGAATCTTTGGTAAAGTCAAGGACAATAATGTCATTGAATAGGGATCGACAATATTTGGTAGAATTCACGTGCACATTCCTTTTTTTGAACTACTGAAGAAACCACAGGAAGTCCAGAAGTATATCACGCTTTACAGCCATAAGGATGAGGTAACATGTCAGAAACAAAATGAAATATCTGTTTTAATTGCCAATGAGTTTCAGTCGCGATATTATCTGTCTACTTAATGCAACTACAGTGCTTTAGAAGATTGTCGTAGTCGTTGGTATAGAAAACCCTGTTGACCTGTTTTCTAATGGTTGAATCAGCTGTTCTTTCAGACAGAGGGTAACGTTTTGAAAAACCAAAGGTGCGACTATAAATTACGGATGACCTTTGAGCGACGTTAAAGTTACCTTGAGACAATTCGGCTATTAGCCAGTATCAAAAAAGAGTAAAAAGTTAATATCAAGAATTAGGAATGGGATTTAGAGTTAGAATCCAAGGTTATGAAGTAATGTAGAGGTTTTGAAATAATGCTCAGTTTCTTTGTTACACAAATATGACATTAATTTATTTTAGACGACTATCTACACTAAATACAATCTCAGTGTCTATTCTATAGGACGGCAACACAAATCAGATCAAGAACACATAACTGACCTGATAGAACGTAAGCATATTTTCACGTCAACAACCGACAACGATCGCAATCATAATAAGGATAGGAAAACACATACCTTATCCTATACATATCAGACTATCATCTACTAGTCTGAATAGGCAAACAACCAGTCATTATTATCCTCGCCGACGCACCGAGTTTCTATCATGAACTGAGCTATAATGACAACTATATGGATAAACGAATTTCACGCCCATATCTAAGACTTGCTGACCTTAGTTTCATTGGTTCGTTCATAAATCATAGTCTCGCCAAGCCAAAAGTATAGGGTCGTATGTTATTGGGGTATATCTTCAGACTTCTCTGTTTCAACAGTGAGAACTTGGGTGTGTTTTTTAATGTCTGGTCCCCAGAATCTTATGGGATTCGGTGTTATTTTGTGAATGTAGCATTTTCTGCTGAGTAAGTTCATAGATGTTTAACATTCACTCTAAACCATAATTTTTTTTGCTACCAGATAAGGATCATTATTCCTTTACAGGATCATATAATATTGTCAGGACTGATAAGCAGTTATACGACTTCCAAAAATAAATCATTTAACAGTATGACATATCTAAATTGAATGCACTAGTTACATCTTAATAGATCAAGAAAATTAGGTACTACTCAAACATAGACTGTGTAGTCTGAGTATGATTGACTTTAACTGGATGATAATGTGAATCAACATAATGAACTAGTGATCCATATAAGATTTGAGAATAATGTATACATCGACACTAGTAGTAAATATGCTTTTATTTCATCAAATGTATTGTGGTGTGGTCTACTTATATCCATATAAGTAGTATATAGTGTGGATCAGACATAGAATGTATTTTGGCAGAAGACCGATGAGGAAAGAACTGAAATGAAGCGCAATCGTTTGGAAAATGCATGAGCAGTGGAATTAGAGAAGAAACAGTGAAGATTGAAACAATTGGTTGTTAATTTGCAAATTGACTGTTCATTGTATGGTTTTCAGAATTTACTGAGATAGTCTGTAATTTTGCTTAAATACATTCGATTGTCCCCAACTAGTGTTCTGTTCACTACAGTATGACAATCATAAATCCTTGACATAAAAGTGAATTACAGTATTATTTACATAAAAGTAGGACAGAAGTTATGGGAATAACTACGATTGTCGAAAAAAAATCAACTTTGATTATTCACTTGATCAATTAAGTATTGACACATTTATTGGCTTTTAACACCATTTATTTATGATCATTAAGGGTGTGACAATTAGATTATATAATGAATTGACACATATTTTCTAAACGACCTATAGGAGATTTCATTATTACAATAACATAATCAAAAACAAAGACACTTGTTTTATATTGAATATTATCAGAAATCGATGATATTTTAAGTAAATAAATGTCAGTTCCGATAAGAAATTTCCTGAGGAACAATGAATACGCTAATTGTAAGTTCCAGTATTGTAAACATATAGATAATGAAAATTATAATATTTTACAGAGAAGTATATTTGTTGTAGTCGTTGTATATGTCTATTTTGATATGGCGAATGGTGTACCAGGTATGTCAAAAGATACAGTTGTTTAATCATAACTAAAGTATTATTATTGAAAATTTATCTTTGTCACTTAAAACCTGAAATTTCAATTTGTTTAATATCAAATCTGATGAGTCCTACAATAGGACGAAACGGCCGTCCAATGCTTCCAGGTTTTCCATGGTGATCTAGCTTCAACTGACTCATGACTTCAGCTATATGAAACTGATACAGTAAAAATATTATTTTTATCAAAATGCATTAATTAATATATAATATTCATTGACATAAACAGCAACAACAACAAACAATACTGCTATTCATGTTTTCAAATGTTTCTAAACTAATTTCTTAACTTATTTACTATGTATGAAACTTGAACAAAATTGCTTTATTTCTATTGCTTTGGTTATATTTCAGAGCCCCCCAGAGTCCCCGATGAAGGTGAGCATAATGTACTGCCTAAACATGTTGAATAATATAAAAAAAATATATTTTTCGACTGCTCAATTTAATGATAATGGCATAAGTTGTAAGTGTTTTATAAACAAATGCAATATCTAACGGCTTGTATCAATACTATTGTAGATTGAAATATACATGACATTTAATACATTTCAAATAAACACATATTATTCTACTTTAGATTAGTTGTGTTTAAATGCAGTATGGTAATATTTGAAAATGTTGATTTAGTTGGAATTATTAAAATCATATGTTTCATATAATTGTAGCTCAGGTTATATGATGAATGAGTCTGTGAAACTTCATAGGGAATAATATGTTATAAGGATAGTTTGAAATATTTAACAAACAAACTTATTTAATCCTTTTGATTCAAGTGTTTAGAAAACATTTTAATACTAATTAAGTAAAACAACTGGATAAAAGGCGTTCATGATAGAATGTTATATTCTTTCAGTTTAAGTCTTTGTTCCTTTTTTTTTTCATAGATGTAGTACCGGTGAGAGCAAAACCTGGTGAGTTAGTAGTTTCATCAGGATATTTCATTAAATCCAGAGTATAGAATGTTTGAATATTAATTCACTTTGTTGTTATAAATAAATGTCTAGATATATATATATACTAAACTTATACAATACATATCCTAAGAGAGAATTAAATTTTTTGGCTTGATAGAAATAATTACAAGTGTTCGTTCGATTACGCTTGGCACACCGATCCCTAAATTAATGTATGTCAGTAATAAACAATTATATAGAGAAATTTAACAACACATCTACTGACTAGGAAATGTAATATAAGATAATTTAAAGTGTATTTCGGTTTCATGTAGATTTCAGACGAATCTGACAGAACATCACATTATTACTTACTTACTTACTCCTGTTACTCCTCATGGAAGAGCACAGGCCGCTCACCAGGATTCGCAGTCCAATTCTGTCCTGGGCAATCCTTTCAAGTTCTCTCCAGTTGCTATTCATCCTTTTCATGTCTCCTTCCAATTCTCGATGCTGTGTGTTCTTTAGCCTTCCTCTTTTCCATTTCCCTTTGTGATGCCATTTGATGATTTCCTCAGTATACGTCGGAAACACTTTCAACGTCTTTTCCTAATTTCCTCTTCAGCTGGAAAGAAATTTCTGATATATCACTAATTTCTATACATAAACAAAATTATTTTGAGAAAGTAACATAAAAATAATTTAAGTTATAAATTACATTCACTTCCTTAACCGTGAATCTAATGGTAAATTTATCATCTTTGTAGTGTGACATAATAACATGGCTGATTTAAAAACAGAGCAAGTGAATTTATCACATTTAATAAAATCAGTTTGTTTTAAAATTATAATTAAACTAAAGTATGTGAACTGAATGATAAACAAGTCAATAAGAGTTCATCATGATACCCTACTTGTTAACGTTGTCGTGGACAGGGTTGGATGGAGAGTGCTAATGGGCTGCCTATGCTTCTCCCCCGATGGGTAACAGGGATAAGTAAATAAAGTGACTTGTTAACATCATTGAATAAGATTTCGAATAAACATTTGAAGAACACTGAAGTGAACAATAAAGATATAGTTGAAAATAGTTGTATTGTGAATCTAGCATATAATAGTAAATTATATTGTTTTAACACTGTATTTTTCTTGTAATATTCATTATTATTTTTTTTAGCTACTCCAATCAAGATATCTACTGATAAGATACCAGTGAACAAGACAATGAAAATACAAAGTGAGAATTTAAATAATTGTGCTACAGTTTACGGATACTTAAATACCATTTCTAGTAGTATATGTAGAAGCTAAATGTTACTGACAGTTCATAAGATACTTTCATTCATCATAAATAGGAAGACTATTAATTCTCTGAAGAATACAGTGATAGAAGAAAATAATTTATAAGACTAATAAACATTATGACATTTTTAAAAGAAGTATCGGAAATAAAAGAATGTGTAGCTCGATTGAATGTTGTTTATTTTAACTTAAAACGGGATGTTTCAATTGTAAGCAAAGATGGATTAAAGCTATATCGAGGCAATACGCACAGTATGCACATATGCCAATTAGAGACTGACCAGCTGCAGTTCTAACACATCGATGGGAAGATACAAGCAAACAATACTAAATGAATTTAGGATGTTTCAATGTTTGGTTATGAAAAGAAAATTATGTTCATTCTTGAACTTTCTGTAAATTGAATCTAAAATATTTGGGATGTTAATTTATTAGTTTATTAAAATATAAGTCATTACTTTAGTCACAGAACCTAATACGAATTTACTATTATAAACGGCAAATCAAGTCCTGTTGAATCGATTAAACGATTATTTGCCCTAAAATATGTAGATGGATGTGAAAAATAGAACAACAGAATGAATTCACAGGATGTAACCAGGTCTTTAAACAAAAGTTCAAAATCATCTCATAACTACAATTATTCCAAGTTGTATTTTTGTTAAATTTCCGCGACCTCATCAGTGCGAGTCAAAATTATGTTTTATAATCAGTGTTATAAATTTAATGTTATTTTTTCTAATATTAACTTTTTAAATAGCCACATAGTCCAAAGAAAAGAAACAAAAACGTAGGAAATTAAATCATTTCATTCAAAATGTATTATGACTGAAAGTTTTTAATAATTTTGTTAGCTCATTTTCTGGCCAGAATTCTAATCCTGCAACCAAATAGCTACCCATTATGTTCTGACCTGAAGGAATATGTACCATAGCTCAATCTAAGGTGAACAATATTTTCAACTAATGAAAATATCCTCCCATAACTTGTATTTCAATATTCCATAATTATCGTTTACAAATGAAATAATTTCTAGCTAGAACCTGAAAATTACCATGTCAAGACAATTCTAATAAAGATTTATTATGCCTTAAGTATCAGGCAGTTGTGTATATGTTGACTAGTTTACAATTATTTGATGCTTACATTTAAGTTTTGGACCGCTTTCGTAGGACAAAGTTTCACTTCAACAGTGTTTGGCATATACATAGAATTAAACAATCAGTAAAGACATATATATATAATCAGTAGTTGTAGCTAACAGATTATATGTACTCTAGAAATTGGATTTTTACAAAATGTAAATTTCCTGTCGTAATGTAATTTATCTTTCGGAATATCTGTAGTGCATTGTATCTGATGAGTATTTTTTTAAAGACTGAATTGTTTGTTGTGTAACAAAGCAGAATAACGAACATTAGCATAATATTTTTGTTTTATCTGGGTTATATTGCTGAAATTTTAGTCTAGTCCTTATCATATATTCTAAGCATATACAATGAAACTTCGCTTCAACAATATAATGGAATCTTTGAGGTTTTGTACATCAATTTTTTTCTCATGTTGTTTTGAAGTCTGTATAGATGCATATGATTTAATATGCTGATTTCACAAACTATCTTATACTGATTATAAATATACATTTGCACTATTGTAAATTGTATAGTCAAAATACCTATAAGTACTTTTCTTAATTCATTCTCACCTTATGCTTTAATTAAAATAACTAACAGCTGATCCGAAGAGATATAAAAGATGTGAGTTCAAAATACACTTTTATGCAGTTAATAACGTTACAGTTCCATGAGACATTATCTTAAGTGGATAGAAATTTGTTTTCAAATTCCGCTTTATTGACCCATATTTTTAGTGTATGGTGGAAATATTGGGAAACGCCACTTATTAAAACAGTTGACTACATTTTCCAAAGTATATGAGTTTTTGTAAACACGCTGTGACATGGGGATAAATGCAGCTGAAAATTATGTTTATTAATAGTATGAATTTGAACCAATATTCATATAACGATTATTGTCAACTACGAAGATCGTTGATTCGATCTCTCTATATGTTATCAGAAGAAATAGCATGTTATTCATGACATATAATCTTTTCATTACCAATTGTGAACACAATCAAATGAATATCAGTGTAAAATAAATATTAAGTTGGTTCATTTGTGAATCTATGTGCAACAGAACTATTAATTTTAATGGCTACACGTACTGCTTTAGCCAAATAAAAAGGTAAAACACTACCATATATTCTCCCAATCAAGTTAGTTCTATTAAGTTTCATAGAGACTTATAAGCTTTCTGAATAAAGCTTATTAAATTATTATCAACTAAGTGAAATTCGTGATAAAAATAGTTGTTTTTCAAAGTTGAATTCACAAGTCAATCTAAGCTTGACCACCATTGAAAACCTAGAGGCACTGAATGGCAGTTTCGTAGTATAGGACTACTCAGCAGTGCGTGTGGACGATCTTGTATTCAAGACTGGAACCCAGGAGCCTTGGTGTCGTTTGCGAACGCCTAAACTCTAAACCACTGAGCTGGTATTCAATGGTGTTATTGCACAACCCTTCATCCGAAGTATGAGATGGATAACTGAATAACAGTGACCAGTGGAATCCAATCCGTGTCTGATGTAAGGCAGTGGTCCCAGGTTTATACTGGTGGTTTAGCTCCGATTGACTCCTGAATTCGACTTTTAAAACTTAATAATCTCCAAAAATCCCCAAAACTTATTAAAATGGTTGTGTTTGATTATCATTATTTTTTGTTTTGAACAGCTTCATACCAAAAAGATAAGAAGGCCAAATGTAAGAAATTGGATAATTATTTGTAATGTTTGTAACCCTTTAATCTTACAATGCTTCTTCCGCTTTTCATACACAGAATATCGATTCGAATAGATTTTGCAGACAAAATAAATTGTGTTTAAGATTGATGCGGTTAGGATTTATTAGCTTTATAAACCATTATTATAGTCCAGTGATCAATCAGTGAAATTCAGTGGACTGTAAATTGATCAATGTTGAGAGTATTGTTGTTATCTATAAGGAGATAATCAACTTCAGCTATATCATGTAGTCAACCGAGTTCCACCTCAGTGGCTGAATACTTGGCCTTTATATGTGGTTTGACTATATACAGAATGCTATACATACTTCAAAACCAAATTAATGATTGCATTTATTTATTTCCACGTTTCAGTGGACCTATAGCATAGGGCATTTAATGATGTAGGCTTTTAAACATCATAAGAGTATGGAGATATTTGACATTTTATCAAGTGTTAAGTGTTGGTTGTATAACATTTTATTTGTTTTATTCGTCCATGTGTTTTTAACTTGATATTTTATTGATATTTTTGGTTAACAGCGTCATCATCAACTTTGACCATCGGTATGTTTTAATCCATAAATTTTATATGATTAATTTCAAGTCATTATACTAATAATAGTTGATTGTTTTGTTTACAATTGTCAAGAAACCATTTTTACCACAAAAAACAATCAGAAATAGATCAAATCGGAATGCGAGAACCATATCGATTTATAAATATTCTTTGATTAGATTAACGGACTAAACCCTTTCTTCTTACTAATAGAACTTCAAACCAACCAGAGCTTGTAACAAGTAAAACAGGCTGCAGCATAGTTTCCTTAACTTTAGAGGATGATAAAAACTTAGAGGGATTGAATTAATATACTTTTTAACGAAGATACTAAACTTTTGGTTCTACATAACTGAACTGAATGACTAATTGAGATTATGAAACAATCGAATAAATTTGGGATTATAAAATATAATTAGATATTTGATTGCAATGTTTTAATTAATCTTTTGTTATTTGCTGATTTTTAGGATGTCCAATCCTCTTCATAACTACACCATTTGTTATTTCAAAGTTCCTTCTTTGAATTTTACACCAATTTTGATATATTGCTATGATCTCGGATAGTGTTCATTTTTATCCACTCTTGTACTCTTGTTCTATTCAACAAATAAATGATTTTACGTACCAATACGTTTTGATTTCTATCAACCTTATTTCGTCGTCGTATGCCATCTGAGCAGAGAGAGACTGAGTGTTCATTTGAAATTCGTTCAAAGACAAGTGTCATCAAGTAATAACTAAAACAGTGAGTCATAAAAGTTAATCTACATAGCTAGTAAGATCAGTAGATTAACTAATAGTCATTCATTGTGAATCAAGGCTATATCGAGGCAATACGCACAGTATGCACATATGCCAATTAGAGACTGACCAGTTGCAGTCCTAACACATCGATGGGAAGATTCAAACAAACAATACTAAGTGAATTTAATAGTCATTCACTTATGATTAATTTTGCGCTTACTAAGTTGTCGGGTCACTTTATCTCTTGTTTTTTTTATCGTCTGGATTCTGGATACTGCCCTTCAAACTCTAACAGCTAAACGCAAACATACCAAATTATTCTTGCTATTAAATTCTTAATGTTAACACTGCTGCGAAATCACTTTTAAGTAAACCTTTGTATATTATTCATTCAACAGCTACTTTCAAAATCACTTATAGCATCAAGTAATTTGTTACAAAATGACTGACTAATTATCCGTCAACAAAATATATTGAGCACGTTAGATTTATCCAGGCAATAAAGATACGACTGTGAACCAAGATTTTCAGTATTTGTAGTTACCTTAATTATGGAAATGAATAGTTTGGTCATGAATATTGAGGTCTAATCAATCTATCTGAGATCAATTCTAAGGAAAAACAATTTATTCAGAATTTATGATGGAAAAATAAATGTCATTATAGGGTTATGGGGAATGTTGAGTTTAGAATAAAATAATGAACGGATAAGTGTTAGACCTGGGTTCGCGTCCTGCGTTCAGAATCATGGAGGAACAATACTAAGACGAGTTAGTGAACACCTCCTTTCGTGGTTAGGAAAGGGTACCGTCAAAACAATATACAACTTTGTTTTATCACACTGATCGATAGCGGTAATGTTGTAGATAGAAATAAATCATTTATAATAATATATCGTATGCCTACTAGTTTTCCTTGTGGTGTTCGGTCTCCCCCCTTACGCATGGCAGAAGCTTTAGAGATTTGAATTAACAATGCGGGTCTTTGTGTTCATAAGAAAGTTGTAACACTTATCTCTTCCTTGGGTGAATTAACAATCATATTGATTTTCCTTCAATCCCTCTCTTTCTTCTAAATATACGCTCCATTGTCCAATAATCTGGACACTCCTTATTGCATAACCTCATAGTTTTCATGAATGTTGTTTCAGCATTCGTACTTTTTCAAGTCATTCACCTATTTCCCATTATGAAACACGGATGTGAGCCATTGTTATTCCCATCGCATGTAGTACACCTGACGTCACACTATCGATTTGTACTTTTTACTCATCCTGCTTATTTATGTAATCTATTCTAATGTTATCACTGACTCATAAAGTGCCTTTATTTGTCCACCGATTTCGTCTAAGTATGTAAATATCACTATATATCAGAATAAATCCTCATGAGGATCTAATTAAAAACAACATTGTTTTCCTACATATGATATTCTGATTCACAATTTCAAAAGTTCTACTGTCTTGAAATCGCACTTTTATATGAAGTTATATGAAAAGAAATAATTCTCTGAGAACTTTGCGGAAAGAAAATACTGATAGCACTCTGATGAGAAGTGTTGGCGATAAATGATGCGAAATATTCAAAGAAATACTATTTTCTTTATGCTTTTATTTTCGTAACTTGGATCGAATCTGAAAAACATACTAGTAGTGGCATTTTAGTTGTGTTCGATCAAACGTAATACCATACTACAGTAATTTATTTGATATAAGGTAATTCAGTTTTAGTGAAACACGAACAACTATAGACTCTATATTATCGATTTTACATGTCAATTGTATAAAGCGTATTGACAAGTATATGTGGGTCCAGATTGTTAGAAAGGTATACCAAAAATGCAAAAAATTTGACAGATAAACTCCGTTTCTCTTTATTCTGTCAAGGTTTATTAAAGGGATTAGATACTTTAAAATTCTAAAAAGAAGATTACCAGAATCTTGCATTAAAAGAGTCAGTTGTACTTGCTAATCCAAAGTACAACGATAAAGTGAAGGTAAATATGGACCTAAAGAAACCTTACATCAATAAACATACATTTGCCAAACAATTTTTGAATGCTTGCGATCCGACAAACTGCATCCAAGTGTTTCTAATCTTCTTCACCTAACGAAATCTGACATACAAAACTGTAATGAAATGATGTTGAATATTTGTTGTTGAATATTTATCCAATATTTCATAATAAATCTATGAACTTTGCGGCTAAGTGGTTGTTAAAATAAAGGATACTACGTGACAAAAGCTGAATAAATCCCTTATTGGTGACTATAACAAGAATTCATTTTAATTTAACCCATATACTTATGTAACAAATTTATTCTGTGTTGAACTTTCTGTATTTAAGAAAGAAGCTTTGTCTCACAGATATAATTAGTCTATTGCCCATGCCCGAATTTCCGATTTGTCGATCGGTGCTTAATAAAAAATTTCTATGGTCAGTCGAACACACTTGTTGCGATCACGATGGACATGTAAAATTGTTTGAAGGTAAAATTTGTGTATAATACCTGCCGATTTCACGGTTCTAAAATGAGAAACATGAATATCTTGTCGTCTGAGCATTATAGTGCCTTGAAACACCTCCTGTGATTCTCACACCTGACAATGGTCATGGGGTAGCTGTTATGAACAGATGTTTCTATATGGCGAAAATGTTGTGTATTCTCTCTGATGAGAGAAAGTTTCGGGCAGACATTCATCTAAAAATGTTGTTTGAAAATTGAAATGTAGAGTAAATCCCATTCTAATGAAGCTCTTTCATATGAAGATTATGAACAAAGAGGAGTTTAATATGCTAAATTTTACCGGTTCTAAACCCCAAATTTATGTAGATTACTTAAGATTCCTGAGCATAATAATCCATTGTGACCAATATTATCGATGTGCGGTTCGCCTACTTAGGAGCTAGCGAATTAGTTACTTAAAATGCCAAACTCTATCCGTAATGAATTGTGTAAGTTCTACTTAAAAGATGCATTTGAACTGATTGATCTTCTAGATAAAATTAATATTCAAGAAAAAATGCAACTTTTTGATATAAACTTGCTTTTTCTGAATGCACCTTTAACCAAGACTTGATTTCCTTCGTGATCATATATCGAGCAATTTTCCTCTTCTTGAATCGGGCCAACACTGTTGATAGAACTACTTTGTTTATGTAGTGCAAAAGTTCAATTGAAATTTGAAGGTGAAAATTTTCTACAAACTGATGGTGCTGCTATGTTTATACCTTAAGAACCTCAGCTGATGTATATATGTCATATGTTGGAAGTATGATGACTGAGTTCATCCACAAGGTAACTCCGTATAGGAGATACATGGATGATATATTAGTCATATGTGATAGACTTCGTTGCTGATTAGTTATTACACAAACTCAGTACCATACAGAATATCGTACCGACCTATGAACAAAGTAATATAGTTTTAATAATTATGAGCTGAGATGATGGTAGCTAGCAGTGAAATCCAGGACACTTGTGACTGAAGGCAATATCAAGGTAATCCGCACAAGATGAACATATGCCAATAAGAGACTGATCAATTGCAGTCATACACATCAATAGGAAGATTCAAGCAACCAATACAAAATTGAATAGTTTTGATCAGTTTGTAGGAAGCCAACCCAGATTGAACAATATCTAAATATTCAGTTTCTGTCCATTGCAACACACACTAGTCCTTGTGAAGTGCTTTTAAAACAAGACTCACGAATATACACTACAGATACGTTTGAAGAAGATGCGAAACTGCTATCTAAGATAGTGATACCATTAGAGGGATTAAAAGACAAAGTTGATCTGAAAAAATGTGATGTATTTGCTCTTTGAAAAAGCTTGGACTAGATTGTTAGGTGAAAAGTTGGATTTACTTCAAATTCATTCGCTGAGATTTTACAAATATATTATTCTTATTTAATGTCTTACATCAACTCGACGCCCAAATACTATGAAACTATTCGCTCTAATTTAGACGAAAGTTCTTCTATATTTGCTCTATACATTTTGAACGATCTGGTTGCAAATATAATTGTCAGGGCCTATTTTATATGAAAATTAATATTAAGGTCAATTAAATGAAAGTTCGACTAATAAAGGTAACAAAGGGGAGAGAATTATTTTATGTCGTATTGAAAGGATAAGAAATTGTCGCATTATATAAGGCCAAAAATGACTTGAGGATTACCCAGGTAAATTGATGGTGACGACAAATTGTCTTTGTACATAAAAGGGGGGTTTAAATTTACGAATAGCCAAGACTTCGATAAACCTCAGAATTTGTTCTTGACAGTTTCAGAGCTGTTTTAATGTCGATTTTGTGTCTCGTTTCATTACTATCGGTGAACATAGTTTTCTACCTTCCACGTTGAGAGGACCATTAGACAGTAATTGGTTTTGAAGCCATCTAGGCACATGTTCAACGACCCATGATTGCATTGTAGTGCCGCGATTCTTTAACCGTTTACTTCGATAACCGTTATAATTCTAAACTTAACGGTGCGTAAAATCAGAAGACAAAGGATAGCAGCAACTACAGTTTATTGTCGAATGACTCAGGTTCGAAAGCTAACAACACCTGAGCGAATATGAACGAGCGAGTGAACAGGCAAACAAGCGAAGGAAACGAACGAGGAGCAAGCGAGCGAGCGAGAGAGTAGCAAGCAATTACATAGGCAATTTATAGTCAAATTTAATAAGGGCACAGCAAAGCAAAACAAAGGCTGATAATAATATTTGTGTGCGTACATATATGGGGAGGAGTATGAGTCATCGAATGATATTTAAGCAGTCAACATTTCGGCTAGAGTGTCATGTGCTCTAGTGGTATAGCAGTGCAAAGAATATGCAAATTGTTACTATCCTAATGACAATGTCTGTTAAGTAA